TGAGGATCATCAGAACACACACACACAGAAGAGGAGAATCATCAGAACACACACACACAGAAGAGGAGAATCATCAGAACACACACACACACACACACACACAGGAACATCAGAACACACACACACACACACAGGAACATCAGAACACACACACACAGAAGAGGAGAATCATCAGAACACACACACACACACACACACAGAAGAGGAGAATCATCAGAACACACACACACAGATGAGGATCATCAGAACACACACACACACACAGAAGAGGATCATCAGAACACACACACACACACACACAGAAGAGGATCATCAGAACACACACACAGAAGAGGATCATCAGAACACACACACACAGAAGAGGAGAATCATCAGAACACACACACACACAGGATCATCAGAACACACACACACAGAAGAGGAGAATCATCAGAACACACACACACACACACACACACACACACACACAGGAACATCAGAACACACACACAGAAGAGGAGAATCATCAGAACACACACACACACACACACAGGAACATCAGAACACACACACACACAGAAGAGGAGAATCATCAGAACACACACACACAGGATCATCAGAACACACACACACAGAAGAGGATCATCAGAACACACACACACACACACACACACACACAGGAACATCAGAACACACACACACACAGAAGAGGAGAATCATCAGAACACACACACACAGGATCATCAGAACACACACACACAGATGAGGATCATCAGAACACACACACACAGAAGAGGAGAATCATCAGAACACACACACACAGAAGAGGATCATCAGAACACACACACACACACACACACACACACACACAGGAACATCAGAACACACACACACACACACAGGAACATCAGAACACACACACAGAAGAGGAGAATCATCAGAACACACACACACACACACACAGAAGAAGAGAATCATCAGAACACACACACACACACACAGGAACATCAGAACACACACACACACACACACAGGATCATCAGAACACACACAGAAGAGGAGAATCATCAGAACACACACACACACACACAGGAACATCAGAACACACACACACACACACACACACAGGATCATCAGAACACACACACAGAAGAGGATCATCAGAACACACACACACAGAAGAGGAGAATCATCAGAACACACACACACAGATGAGGATCATCAGAACACACACACACAGAAGAGGAGAATCATCAGAACACACACACAGGAACATCAGAACACACACACACACACACACAGGATCATCAGAACACACACAGAAGAGGAGAATCATCAGAACACACACACACACACACACACAGGAACATCAGAACACACACACAGAAGAGGAGAATCATCAGAACACACACACACACACACACAGGAACATCAGAACACACACACACACACACAGGATCATCAGAACACACACACAGAAGAGGATCATCAGAACACACACACACACACACACACACACACACACACAGGAACATCAGAACACACACACACACACACAGGAACATCAGAACACACACACACAGATGAGGATCATCAGAACACACACACACAGAAGAAGAGAATCATCAGAACACACACACACACACACACAGGATCATCAGAACACACACACAGAAGAGGATCATCAGAACACACACACACACACACACACACACACAGGAACATCAGAACACACACACAGAAGAGGAGAATCATCAGAACACACACACACAGAAGAAGAGGATCATCAGAACACACACACACAGAAGAGGAGAATCATCAGAACACACACACACACACACACACAGGAACATCAGAACACACACACACACACACACAGGATCATCAGAACACACACAGAAGAGGAGAATCATCAGAACACACACACACACACACAGGAACATCAGAACACACACACAGAAGAGGATCATCAGAACACACACACACAGAAGAGGATCATCAGAACACACACACACACACACACACAGATGAGGATCATCAGAACACACACAGAAGAGGAGAATCATCAGAACACACACACACACACACAGGATCATCAGAACACACACACACACACACACACACAGGAACATCAGAACACACACACACACACACAGATGAGGATCATCAGAACACACACAGAAGAGGAGAATCATCAGAACACACACACACACACACACAGGATCATCAGAACACACACACACACACACACACAGGAACATCAGAACACACACACAGAAGAGGAGAATCATCAGAACACACACACACACACACAGAAGAGGATCATCAGAACACACACACACACACACACGAACATCAGAACACACACACACACACACAGGAACATCAGAACACACACACAGAAGAGGATCATCAGAACACACACACACACACACACACACACAGGAACATCAGAACACACACACAGAAGAAGAGAATCATCAGAACACACACACACACACACACAGGATCATCAGAACACACACAGAAGAGGAGAATCATCAGAACACACACACACACACACACACAGGAACATCAGAACACACACACACACACACAGGAACATCAGAACACACACACACACACACACAGGAACATCAGAACACACACACACACACACAGGAACATCAGAACACACACACAGAAGAGGAGAATCATCAGAACACACACACACACACACACACAGGAACATCAGAACACACACACACACACACAGGAACATCAGAACACACACACAGAAGAGGAGAATCATCAGAACACACACACACACACACACACACACACACACAGGAACATCAGAACACACACACACACACACAGGATCATCAGAACACACACACAGAAGAGGATCATCAGAACACACACACACACACACACACACACACAGGAACATCAGAACACACACACACACACACACACAGGAACATCAGAACACACACACAGAAGAGGATCATCAGAACACACACACACACACACACACACACACACACAGGAACATCAGAACACACACACACACACACACAGGAACATCAGAACACACACACACACACACACAGGAACATCAGAACACACACACACACACACAGGAACATCAGAACACACACACAGAAGAGGAGAATCATCAGAACACACACACACACACACACACACACACACACAGGAACATCAGAACACACACACACACACACACAGGATCATCAGAACACACACACAGAAGAGGATCATCAGAACACACACACACACACACACACACACACACAGGAACATCAGAACACACACACACACACACACACAGGAACATCAGAACACACACACAGAAGAGGATCATCAGAACACACACACACACACACACACACACACACACACACAGGAACATCAGAACACACACACACACACACACAGGAACATCAGAACACACACACACACACACACACAGGAACATCAGAACACACACACAGAAGAGGATCATCAGAACACACACACACACACACACACACAGGAACATCAGAACACACCACACACACACACACACACAGGAACATCAGAACACACACACAGAAGAGGAGAATCATCAGAACACACACACACACAGAAGAAGAGAATCATCAGAACACACACACACACACACACACAGGAACATCAGAACACACACACACACACACACAGGATCATCAGAACACACACACACAGGAACATCAGAACACACACACAGAAGAGGAGAATCATCAGAACACACACACACACACACACACACACAGGAACATCAGAACACACACACACACACACACAGGAACATCAGAACACACACAGAAGAGGAGAATCATCAGAACACACACACACACACACACACACACACACACACACAGGAACATCAGAACACACACACACACACACAGGATCATCAGAACACACACACAGAAGAGGATCATCAGAACACACACACACACACACACACACACACAGGAACATCAGAACACACACACACACACACACACAGGAACATCAGAACACACACACACACACACACACAGGATTATCAGAACACACACAGAAGAGGAGAATCATCAGAACACACACACACACACACAGGAACATCAGAACACACACACAGAAGAGGAGAATCATCAGAACACACACACACACACACACACACACACAGAAGAGGATCATCAGAACACACACACACACAGAAGAGGATCATCAGAACACACACACACAGATGAGGATCATCAGAACACACACACACAGATGAGGATCATCAGAACACACACACACACAGATGAGGATCATCAGAACACACACACACAGATGAGGATCATCAGAACACACACACACAGATGAGGATCATCAGAACACACACACACAGATGAGGATCATCAGAACACACACACACACAGAAGAGGATCATCAGAACACACACACACACACACAGAAGAGGATCATCAGAACACACACACACAGAAGAGGAGAATCATCAGAACACACACACAGAAGAGGAGAATCATCAGAACACACACACACACACACACACACACACACACAGAAGAGGATCATCAGAACACACACACACACAGAAGAGGATCATCAGAACACACACACACAGATGAGGATCATCAGAACACACACACACACAGAAGAGGATCATCAGAACACACACACACAGATGAGGATCATCAGAACACACACACACAGATGAGGATCATCAGAACACACACACACAGATGAGGATCATCAGAACACACACACACACAGATGAGGATCATCAGAACACACACACACAGATGAGGATCATCAGAACACACACACACAGATGAGGATCATCAGAACACACACACACAGATGAGGATCATCAGAACACACACACACAGATGAGGATCATCAGAACACACACACACAGATGAGGATCATCAGAACACACACACAGCTGCTAGCGTGTCGTTGGAACAGCAGAGCAGGTGCTAATGCTAACGCTAGCGAGCGGTTGTGCGAAAGATTCAGGGTTCGTCAGGAACAGAATCCAGCAAACACGGGAAACACTTTCAGTTTCTCTCCCTGTGCTTCGATGACCTGGAGACGACACTCCACAGTCACTTTCGAGACAGGTCACGTGAGAGAATTTAACACACAAAGAAAGAAAGAAAGAAAGAAAGAAAGAAAGAAAGAAAGAAAGAAAGAAAGAAAGAAAGAACATCATTCAGAACACACACACACACGAGGAACATCAGAACACACACACACAGAGAGAGAGGAGGAACATCAGAACACACACACACACACACACACACACACACACAGAGATAGGAGAAACATCATTCAGAACACACACACACACACACACAGAGGAGGAACATCAGAACACACACACACACACACACACACACACAGAGATAGGAGGAACATCATTCAGAACACACACACACACACACACACACAGAGGAGGAACATCAGAACACACACACACAGAGAGAGAGGAGAAACATCAGAACACACACACACAGAGAGAGAGGAGAAACATCAGAACACACACACACACACACACACACACACACACACACACACACAGAGGAGGAACATCAGAACACACACACACACACACAGAGATAGGAGGAACATCAGAACACGAACGAACACACAGACACACACACAGAGAAGAGCACCAGCCATCAATAACACTCACTCTGCGGCGCCTTCACACACACACACTCGGTCTGCCGGCAGCAGTGCATTATGGGCCGGGCAGAAGCGCTATCAGATCTGATCAGCTGCATCGATCACTCTCATCAGGGGATCGCGCGCTTCATCCGTCGCGTCATACTCGCACACACACGCGCCACTCAGTCTCGACACGCAGCGCGAGGGTTCACAGTGACGCGCGGAGCCGAACCGCCGGAGGATTGCAGCAGATTCGCGGAGAGCGGATAGTCGGATACCCACCATGATGATGCGGGGAGCGGAAGAGGAGGAAGAAGAGCGTGACCGGAAGCGGAAGAGCCGGACACGCGCGAGCGTCACTCACTGGCCTCTAGCGGTGGAGGAGCGACACTGCAGCTCGATCATAAACACACACACACACGGGTTATTAAACACGCACGCTTTCCACAGCTCACACCAAAACACAGCAGTAAGTCATTATAGCTGCAGAATTACTTCGATGAGCTCATGTGTTATCCCATATTCAAAGGGGGGGACACTCAGAGCCATCTCCATCCAAACAGGTATCGGGTGATCTCGAGTCCCACCATAGCCCTCTGATCTCCGGCTTCCGAGCTGGTCATGCACCTCAGCAACACTTCAGGTCCTAAATGATATCATAACAGCTGTCGACAAAAGACAACATTGTGCTGCTGTCTTCATCAGCCAGGGCTAACAGCGAGCCGAGCCGGGCCAGTGACCCGCAGCGCTGCCCTAAACCCAGCCCTTAACACACCTTCCTGGATCAAACGTCATACAACCTCACCCATTTCAGCGGGAATTATGAAGTTCATTCAGGCAATAATAAATTATTCTATTTTCTAAAGTTAGGAAGAGAGCATGTACCTCACCGGCCGTGGCTGCCCGCCTTGTCTCGCCACTAACGGAGGGGCGGTGGTGACGCAGCACACGGTGACCCAGCACACGGTGACCCAGCACACGGCGACCCAGCACACGGCGACCCAGCACACGTTGACCCAACACACGGTGACCCAGCACACATTGACCCAGCACACGGCGACCCAGCACACGTTGACCCAGCACGGTGACCCAGCACACGGCGACCCAGCACACGGCGACCCAGCACACGGCGACCCAGCACACGTTGACCCAGCACGGTGACCCAGCACACGGCGACCCAGCACACGGCAACCCAGCACACGGTGACCCAGCACAAGGTGACCCAGCACAAGGTGACCCAGCACACGGCGACCCAGCACACGGCGACCCAGCACACGTTGACCCAGCACACGTTGACCCAGCACACGGCGACCCAGCACACGGCGACCCAGCACACGGCGACCCAGCACACGTTGACCCAGCACGGCGACACAGCACACGGCGACCCAGCAGCACACGTCCATCAAGCCGAACTATGGAAAGCTCCTTCTCTGGGCTCCGCTTTGTCCATTGTGTGTTTTAATGGCCTTGTACTGCGCCCGCAACTTTTTCATTTTCCCCTGAACTTGAAGCGTTGTTCGCTGAATGCTGAGCTTAGCAAGTTCAGCAACGATGTATTTTTTAAAGTCCTCGGTTCTGCACACACTGTCAAATTGACGTTGTACCTTTTGTTCTGCCCAAACGCCCAGAAGAGCTTTGGTAACTTCCACACACCAGTACAGGCCATTCTTCATTTCCAGCAGCGATTATTTTGCGCCATATAAAAAAGTGAAATGTGCATCTTGCCGCAGACTAACTTTCCCTAACACCGATAAACTCCTCCTTTTACCTGGAACACGCCTCTAGCCCGAGCTGGCCCGCTTAGGCCCAAGGTATTAGACGGGCCAGAAGTCCTGGCCGTTGGCCCCGAGTAAGCCCCGGTACATCCTCTCCTCCTAAAGTTGAGCTTGGGGTGATCCAAGATGGCGCTCTGATCAGTCACGTTTTGAGGAGCTCTGCAAACTCAGCTGTTTATTTTTGATTTGTAATGCAGTAAGAAAGGCTTTTGAACTCATAATTTGTACCAGATCACGTTTAACTAGTTGTTGCTTGCTAGGGATGTAACGATTCACTCGCAACCGGTTGAAAATCGATAAAAATGTGTGACGATTCAAGTCGGTTGAAATGTTAAACGAATCGCGATACACATTTTAAACAGCAGGGCGCGTTTACTGTATAGCCTACGGTGAAGTTGTGTGAACCTCGCTTTACAGGCACAATAGCAGCGAGCACACACTGGCGTGAAGCTAGCGAGTGTTTTCACTTCATTCGTGGAACTTGATCTTGTGTGAGCCAAGCTCAACTTCCATAGGAATGAACTGAAAACGCTCGGTTTGCTCCGCTCGCGCCGCACCAGTGTGTGGACGCGCCGTCAAACAGTAGACATGGCGACGGCAAGCGTAGATGTTGACGTTGACTCATTCAAATCGGAGGTGTGGCGGCATTTTGACTTTCCGTAGACTAATAATAATCACCACCGTGAGAAGCACCAGTCACCTCCGTTTTCAAGTAAAAGTCATTAATACGACAATTGCGAGAGCCACGGAGATCACAAGGTGCATCAGTGTTTCCGTGGCAACCAGGTGTTGTATTTTTATTTTACTATCCCTTTCTCTAAATGTGTTTTTTTTTTAACTCTTACTAGTGTAATGATACAAATTATAACAAAATTAGAATCTTGCCTTTATTACAATGTAAAAACCCCTGTCAATCTGGTACTAATTTTACAGTCTTTTACAGAGTGTGCGAATTACCAGTGTACCCCTTAATTTTTTAATGTAGTTTTATTATTTGACAAATATATTTTAAATTAAAAAGAAATGTGCAGCATTTTGTCTGAGAAATAATAAAAGGGACACTTTTGTACACTTTTAAATCTCATTTGTTAAAAAAAATCGTGAGAAAATCGTATCGTGAATCCAGTATCGTGAATCGTATCGCATCGTGAGATGAGTGAATCGTTACATCCCTAGTTGTTGCATTGCCTTTCAAAATGGGAAAATCCGAGAAAAGAAAAAGTAGGAATGGGCCTCAAGCTGCTGCTAATGCTAACAAAACGGTTAATGAGACACGTCAAGCCCGCCAAGAACTTCTGATGGACAACATGCATGACTACTTGAACCACGACACTGACTCTGCAGAATTCATGCTGTGTGAGGAAGAATTCCCCTGTCCTCCAGAAACCCCATGTAAGTCCCCTGCCATCAAACAACGCAAGACCGAGAGTGCTGACACAACTGCCATCCTCTCACAACTCGGGGAGCTTTCAAGGCGGATTAATAATCGTTCGGATGCTTTGGAAAAGATGGTAGGGGAAAACTCACGTGTGATCGCTAGCATGAAAGAAACGATTAATGAAAATACCAAGCAGATTTCTGGAGTGAAAGATGTTATTGACTTTATGAGTGCCGAAGTAAAAGATTTGAAAGTCAAAATCGGCGCGACTGAGTCACTAGCCAAAAGAGTCGAGTTTAACTCGCATGAACAGGAGAAACGGCTTCTGCACCTTGAGGCTTACTCACGTCGGTGGAGTCTCAGAGTTCATGGGGTACCTGAAAGTGAACGAGAAGATGTCCGAAACAAGGTCATCGGCGTTTGCCAGCACCTTCTGCCAGACGCGAAAGAGAAACTCCCGGATGCCGTGGACACCGTTCATCGCCTGGGTCGCAAACGGATGAACGACAGCAAGCCCAGAGGAATCATCGTCCAGTTTACCTCCCGTTTCCAACGCGACGCGGTCTGGCGTGCTGCTAAAGATTCAAACTTTCTTAAAAACAACAACCTGAAAATTTCCGAGGATCTGTCTCCAGCGGATAGAGAACGAAGAAACAAGCTATGGCCCGTCGTGGAAAAGGCGAGAAAAGAGTTTAATATTGCTTCCATCCTCTTGACTGGTTGGTACTCTTCGATGTTCTGGACTATCATCAGTCTACAGTTCGCTCTTCCCATGGCACTGAAGAGTAAAGACGCTCGTTTGGCGGTACTACTACAACCCTGATTATGTAAGACATTTAAAATGTCTTTTCACGTGGTTTAAAAAGTTCTATTTTAGAACGTGTTACAGTTATATATATAATATATATACATATATTGAGAGACACGTTCTAGTTTGCTTCAGACATTTGTTTTGTCTGGCTTGTATAATACAATATAGTCTCATAATGACCCTAATCGATCTGGTCTCAAATTTCATTTAAAGTATTACTTAATTGGAATTTCATACTGTATTTCAGTATCTTTATTTGAGTTGCGGTTCTCATCCAAACGCTCATTTCTTGACCGCTTAAAGTTCTTTACAACAAGTTACTTGTTTAGCTTATCTAGGTCTTTTCATTCTTTTCTCTCTTCAATTTCCTTTTTTTTTTTTTTTTTTTTACTTCATGTCTTTATCTGTTGTTTCCTTAAATGCTAGAGGGCTAAGAAATTTTACTAAGCGAAAGGCTATAATCTTATATCTCAAACAATTAAAATCAGATTTTTGTTTCCTCCAAGAATGTCACTCAACTGGTGTCACAATATCAGATCCCACGACATCCCTCACTGGCCACCAGAGGGCACCCTCACCCGAGTATTGACTTCCTCACACATCATTCCTGGACTGATTACTCATACACCGGTCATCACTGATTGCTCACGCACCTGCACCCTGTTATCTACCTGCATATAAGCCCCATTCACATCACAAACAGTGCGAAGTCTTGTCTCCTCTGGGAACATTCTGAGCGTTTAATTGGCGTAATAAATGGCCTCCAAAACTCCCTGACAATACTAGTCTATACTTGAAAATGTTTATGCAAAGATTCTCTTTGATTGATAGTTGGAGAGTGTTACATCCCTCTCAAAAGATGTTCTCATGGAGTAATAACTCTCTCTCCTCCCAGTCCCGAATTGACATGTGGCTTATCTCTAAAGAATTATGCAATACCTTTAGTGACATTTTGCCATCACCATTTTCTGACCACAAGAGTATCTTCATTCGTACCCATTTTCTTGCCTCTGATAATGTGCACGGATTCTCTACTTACTGGAAACTTAACAACTCCATTCTGTCTTACAATGAAGTAGAAGATGAAATTAATAAGATAATTGACAAAAATTGGAATAAAGCAAGAGAGGAGAATAGTTACAGCAGCAATTGGGAATTTACTAAATTGGCAAATATCTTAGGAAATTTAGTACTGATCTGGCAAAAAAGAAAAAAAATGATAAATTCCGTTATATGCAAAATCACCAATCTTTTCTCTAAAAATGTGGATGATTTACTTGATTGTGAAAAAGCAGAATTAGTTGACTTACAGTGCAAATTAGACAACACATAAAGCTGAAGGGGCATTTATTAGATCAC